TTTTAAAACCCAAAGGAGGATACACAGTATAAATTTGCACAGAAAGACATCCTTTGGAGGAAAATGAGTTTTTGGTGAGCTGGAGTAGAGCTTATAGAGCACAATCACTGGCTTTACCCAGAACAATTACCTACTCCCATCTAAAATGCTTCTTCTATGGATCAATTTCAATTCAAACCTATAAAGAGAGACAAAGCTAGGTAAATAGAGCAAAATGCTGTGTGTGCCTCCCTCCCCCCTTACAAAACACACACACACACACACACACACACACACACACACACACAGACTTCTCTGGTGTCTTCAGCCTCAGAAGGGGTTGATATAGTTCAGGTAGACAGACACTCCTCAGAGACTACCAAGCATATGCAAAGTCAAACAAGAGACTGTCCAAAAGTCACTACATGAAGGTGGGGCCTGCATCTAGTTACTTTGCGGGCCCCCTGAGGAGTCAGTGTTTTTCAGTAAAAGCAATTTCCAAGTGCCTGTTATACTAACACAAAAATCTGACCCAAGTAAAATCATTTCCAAAAGTTGGATTCTCAGCTAGCCATCTTCCTCTCAACTCTGTTTCATCTTAGAAATTAGATTTGGAAAATACTACAAGATTGTTTTTAGCCTGTTTCTATTTCACATTCCTTCTGCATGACAAAGGTCAAATGTTCATCCTACCCATCCATCTCAGAAGCTCCAGGCTGGGTCCAGTTGAGGGAGGCAAGCACTACTACTAAGGGAAGGGCCAGCTTCACTACCAAGCAGCCTCCATCTCCAAAGTCAGAAGACTCAACAGACCCAGAGGGGCTCCTATTGAGCCATCACACTCTTCATTCATCCTTCCTAAAACATGAGCTGTTGGTCATTTTCATTGGGGCCTAAAACCCTTTTCTATCCTGGTTTCCAGTATTAATCTAACAAAATAAAAAAATAAAAAAAAGGAAAATCCATGAGTCTTTCCTTGTTCATCTAAAGGTAGCTAGTACTCAGCTCACTTCCTGGCTTGTAGCAGAGGCTTGGTGTCTACAGACAGATGGACAAAATTGCCAAACAGCAGAATTATACTTCTTTACTTCACTACAAAGTCTTAACACACAAATGCCTTTGTAAACCTGTTCAAATGATAGTTAAACATAGTAATTGGGAGTTAACATGCATGAGAGCTCCATTAGCAATGAACTGAAGACAGGGATCTTGGTAGGCATAAGTAAATTTTGTAACTCAACGTATGTATAAAGTTATAAATGTGATCATTAAACCAGGGGAAAAAGACATTAGATATATAAGGTATCAGAGCACAGGCCAGAAAAGTCCTGGAGCTCAGCCTGTGTTCTACATAAGAAGCAACCAGATAGCAAAATAAAAAGCCCCCCTAGAAGCACTCAGGGGATACCTAAAATAAAATACAGTGCAACTAAACATAAAATAGAGCAAGTAAGATATAGAACAATCACTGTTACTCATGTAGGGCTCAGAGCTTGTGGTAGTTTGAAAGAAAATGCCCCCCAAAGGGAATGGCACTATCAAGAGGTGTGACCTTGATGAAGGAAGTATATCACTGTGGGGACAGGATTTGATGTCTCTTTTGCTCAAGCTTCCCTCAATGTGACTGTCAGTCAACTTCCTATTGCCTGAAAGATGTAGAACTCTCAGCTCCTCCAGCACCACATCTGCCAGCATGCCACAATGCTTCCCGCCATGATGATAAAGTATAAACAAGCCCCCCCCCCCCCCCAGCAATGTTTTCATTATAAGAGTTGCTGTGGTCATGGTGGTGTCTCTTCACAGCAATAGTAGCCCCAACTAAGACAAAAGTGCAGAACTATAAATTTCTAATTGTGTGTGTGTGTGTGTGTGTGTGTGTGTGTGTGTGTGTATGCATGAGCCCATGTGGGAAAGCACATACAATGAAATCCATTTAGAAAATCAAATATCTGAGACCTCCTAGTGCAGGGAAATGTGTGCCTATGAACCAATGCAAAGCCCAGCAAGAACTCTTCTACAGATATCTGAAATAAGAAGACCTGACCTGGAGGTTCAAGTTTCATATACTTAGTAAACAATGTACCATAAGTATGTACCTCTTCTACTTTTTCAAAGCATCGTGTCTGCTTTGGCAAAGCACGGTACTGCCCAATGTTCTTTCTATACATAGTAAGCTTGGCCACTTACTTTCCTTGTGTTTACATCTAAAATGTGCTGGCTCTCTCCTCTACTCTTCTCACTTGCCTGCCTTATCCTGTTTGCTTGGATCATCCCCAAATGCTGGCCTTGGCTCTTACACAAATATACACATCTTAACCTGGCCTGTAAGCCTGAGACTTCAACATTTGGTGGAAAAGCCATCTTTCTCCAGCACAGAAGGATATCTGGGGACTTAGTCAGTGACCATTAGCATCTCTTCCTCCCATGCCAGGCATAATCTTAAAGTTTTAAGGTCAAGAGACTCTGGGCAAGAGGATCAGAATTCACATGAAAGTAATGCATGGCATTAAAGGTGAGACATAGTATAATGTTCAATGGTTGCAAATGTCTAAACTTTAAAAAGCAGGTCTAAAACTAAATGCATGGTATCTGTCTTTTAAATTTAACAAGAGCTTATATATAATACTGTTGTTTGGAATTTCTAAAATTATATGGTAAACAGTTTTGTATTTTAATTTCTCAAAAGTTGACTATGATTACTCCTAATCAGTTGAAAATAGGAAATAGAGATCCATTCTTGCTTAAATACTAAGAAAATAAAGTTGGAGGGGAATAAATTATTTTACAATTTAAGCAAGTATCTATAAAAAGGTCCTTGCTTTTCATAAGGTAGCATTTTTAATCTAGATTCTTAAAAGTAATTGTCTATGGAGTGGGCACGGTGATACATGCTTTTAATATCAGCACCACTCAGAAGCAGAGACAGGCAGATTGCTTGAGTTCAAGGTCACCTTGGTCTAAATAGTGAATTCCAGGACAGCCAGGATTACACAGAGATCTTGTTTAAGCCATTGTCCTCCCCTAAGAAATGATTTATGTTCAGATTTTCTAGAGTTAGAATATGCTTAGAGAGTCTTAACTAACATGTAGAACAAATAAAATCATTTTAAGGAGTCAATAATCATCAAAATAAATTAATATTTATGGGGGGGGGCTGGAGAGATGGCTCAGGGGTTAAGAGCACTGACTGTTCTTCCAGAAGTTCTGAGTTCAATTCCCAGCAACCACTCGGTGGCTCACAACCATCTGTAATGTGATCTGGTGTCCTCTTCTGGCCCGAACTGAATACATGATAAATAAATAAATAAATAAATAAATCTTAAAAAAAAATTATGAGTGGATGTCTCCATCTGTACTAGTTCCAATTCTGTTGCTGTGATAAAATACTCTTAACACTCCTCACCCCAAAAAATCCAACAAACAAACAAAAAACAATTTGGAGGTAAGAGTTTGTTAGTTTACAATTCCTGGTTATAGTACATCATTTTGGAAAAAAATCAATGAAGCAGATAACCATATCACTTGACTCTATAGTTTGCTTCACTCTATACAGTTCAGTGCCTGGCCTTAGGGAATGGTGTCACTAACCGGGAACTGGGTCCTCCTACATCAATTAGTAATCAAGACAGTCCCCCATAGACACATCCACAGACCAACCTGATCTAGATATCCCTTATCAAAACTAGCTTCTGTATGATTCTGGGTTTGTCAAATTGACAATTAAAATTAGCCAGCACACCATATAAGGAAAAGCAACAAGAATTGTGACGGTAAAATTTCTGAGCCTAAAAATTGAAAAATGTAGCTATGTGGTTGTGACCCAAGCCTTTCCCAGCACTGGAGGCAGAGGCAGGCAGATCTCTGTGAGTTTGAGGCCAGCCTGCTCTACAGAGTGAGTTCTAGAGCATCTAGAGAAACCCTGTCTCAGAGAAAAAAAGATTGAAAACTTCACAAGTTCTTGTTTTATATGACTCACAAACTATCTGTAGTTTAAATAAAGTGACAATATGTCTTCCTTGCATTTTACCTCACAAAAAGAAATACTGGAAATAATCTTGCACTCTAAAAGTTCATCATTTTGCAACTTTATAAGGAATATATATAAAACATAAGAAATAAAGTTTGTAATAGTCGGCCTCTATTTAAAAAAAAAATAGATGTTTCTAGACCACATATATGGCCACAAGTATTTATTCCTAATATGTGAATGGACTTTGAGAGCCCACTCCACATAGAGGGTTACTCTCAGCCTAGACACACAGGGGAGGGCCTAGGTCCTACTCCAAATGATATGACAGAGTTTGAAGATTCCACTCATGAAAGGCCTCACCCTCCCTGGGGAACAAAGAAGGGATGGGTTAGGGAATTGGTAGGGGGCAGGGGAGGAGGGGTGGAAAACGAAACTGGTATTGACGTGTAAAATAAGCTTGTTTCTAATTTAAATTTTAAAAAAATCTGAAAAAAAGTTTTTAAAAGTAAAAGATACTTGATCAATTGGCTATGCTGGGAGGAGAACTGAATAAAGGGATCCAATGACTCACCCCAAGTCAATTTTGGGTAGTCCATGTTAGATAACCCTTAACATGAAATTTAGGTTTAAATAAAGCACAAGAGGTATGCATAAATAGCTGCCTCTGGTCAGGGTGTGGCCCTGACTATCCCTGACCTCAATTCTGGTCTGTCTTACAAAGTGATCTGATTGTTTATCAAAGTTGTATGGAATTCTTTCCTGGAAGGCAGGTGTCTCCTCTGGTAGAAATCAGGGTTTCATTTCCTTCTCTTTCCTCAGCATGGTATTGCTGGAAATTTTTTAACTCTTTGGGATCCATTACTACAACAGCCTGATGGGTGAAGGTAAAGGCAAAAGTTTGTCTTCAGATTATGTTGTCTCCTGACAGGATGGTTACAACTTTAATCACAGCATGTTCCTGATTCACTGTTAAGTGACCAAGAATGAAAAAGTCCAAGTGGCCAGGTTTGATTTTAGTTTCATTTTAATTCCAAAAGACCTGCCGCTTAGAAGCAAGGGACATGGGGCAAGCAGCTCACTCAAGGATAAGCAGCAACAAGAAACTGGGGCAACATCTACTCCTTAAAAAGTTCCAAATGTCTAGATGGAAGGATGATGGAGCAGCTGGGGGGTGAACTGCTCATATTTCTTCAAGGCAGGGTTCCCTTCTGTTGATGTGCACCATATATTGTGGGGCAGCTTGGTGCAGGATGCTTGCTTCCTGTGCTCCTTAGGTTTTTGTTTTGTTTTGTTTCATCTTGACAATTTGACCCAAGCTTGTGTCATCTGTGAAGAAGGAACCTCAACAGAGAAAATGTCGTCATCAGATTGGCCTATAGGCAAGTCTGTGGACCATTTTTTTTAAATTAATGATTTATGTGGAAAGGTCCAGTCCATTGTGGATGGTGCTACCTTGGGCAGGTGGTTCAAGATGCTTTAAGAGAACAGGTTAAGCAAACAATATGGAGCAAGCAAGGAAGCAGCATTCCTCCATGGCCTCTGCTTTCATTCTTGCCTCCCTAACTTCCTTTCATAATAGTGACCAGAACATATAAATCAAATAAAATATTTCCTCCCCAAGTTGCTTTTGAGTCATAGTACTTTATCATAGCAATGGAAAGCAAACTAAAGCAGTTACACATCTTGAGACTGACTTGCAGGAGCCAAAAGATAATCAGTGTGACAGGGCAGAGGAACCACCCTACTTACCTGAAGTCTGTGGAGATCACAGAGTGGCTGACATTTACTTTCAAGTTTATGTACTGTGCCAGGAGTCCTGAAGGAGACATCTTTTCCATCTGCTTTATTACAATTCAATTTCTTGTGTAAACTAAACCTCCCCCAGGAGGTTTCCTCAATAGGAAGCTCTCTTTCCTGATCTTGGGACTAGAGACGCTGGCTATCTCATTTTAAACCCATCCTTATGTCTCCAAAATTAGAGTGGAACTCAGCTCACTTCCCACTACTCTGAATTATAATCATTTTACCAGAGTTCACACAGACTAGAGCTGAGTCAATGAGTTACCTGTGCAGTACAGCTAAAAGCCTATAAAAATACTGGGCTGAGAAAGAGAACGGGCTGCCACAGTAGGGTGTACTGCCTTAAATTTGGTGCTGATACAAGGCACATTTCAAAGATGGTAAATTAAGCATTAGTTCCAATTTGTGCCATGACAGGTGGGAATGTAAACACCCATTCTCTTTATTTCAGAAAAAGTCTAAGCAGAAAGGCTTTCTTACCACTACCTAGAAATGAAATGATGATGTATACTCATTTCACAACTTAGGGGGCTGGTAAGGTGCATCCGTGCTAAGAGTCCTTGTTGTGCAAGATGAGGGCCTGAATTCAGATCTCCAGCAACCATGTAAAATGCCTCCACATGTGCCTGAACCCCAACACCATAGGGAGTAGACATAAGAAAAGGATCTTGCAGGCTTTGCTGGTTGCCAACTTAGCTCCAGGTTCAGTGAAAAAGCCTATCTCCAGAGATATAAAATAATGGAGATCAATAGAACAGGATGCCCATCGTCTTCCTCTGGCCTCACACATACTTGCACAATGTGCACAATGTATACAATACACACACACACACACACACACACACACACACAGAGAGAGAGAGAGAGAGAGAGAGAGAGAGAGAGAGGGGGGGAGAGAGAAACAGAGATAGAGACAGAGAGACAGAGAGAGAAATGAAGCTCTCAAAAACCCTGAATTTAGCACTAATCTTAACATCACTGCAATAGACACCTGAAAACACCATTACAAGCATCTGTCTCTGTGAAGACTGAGTAACAATCCAACCCTGTAACAGTGCTAGAGTTTTCTGTTTGTAGAATAGCAGTAGTGTGCTCCTGAAGGAAAGATCTAGCAGCCAAAGCAGTGATTTACAAACATCTCAAAGTTATACCCTAAATTATATATGCTTATTCTATTCCACCGATCATGGTTGCGAGCCAAAGGTGCTGTAAGATCTCAAGATTAAGTGACAAAACATGTGGGAAATAATTTAGTGCACAATACACTTGCTATGTTAAAAGTGTGACACTGATGATTTTGAATTCAATAATGTAAGCAAGTGTTATTGGGATAAAAATACATGCAGGGGTGTACTGGAAGAGAGATGGGGAGTTAAAGGGAAGTTTCTTGCTACAGGTGCAGCTCAGAGGTAAAGTATTTGCTCTGTAGATGCAAGCAGTCCTCTCAGATGAAATGGATAACACTAAAAAGTAAACCACAAGCGAGAAAATGGACAACACTGTGCAGAGATGAAAAACACAATTGTCTAGACACTGAGAACACCTACAGATACCACAGGAGATCTCAAACTGTCATCTATGAGGGCAAAAACACTTACTTTTAAAAAATGGACTTTTCAGACTTGGGAAGTCAACTCATCAGGTAAAGTGTTTGACACACAAACCTGTGTATTCACATAAAAGCCAAATGGCTGTGATGACCCCATATAACCCCAGTAAATGGAAGACAGGGTCAGGAAGTCACCAAAGCAAGCTAGCTGCCTAGACAAACCAAAATGACAACTGCCAATTCATCAAGAGAGCTACCTCAAAATATATGGTAGACAGTGACGAAACAAGATAGCCAATATTAACCCTGGCCTCCATATGCACGTGCATGCACACCCATACACACGTACACACACACACACACACACACACACACACACACACACACACACACACAAAGAGATGCTTTAATTTATAAAGTCACCTGATAAGAATACTAATATTTCACAAACCAACAGGAGAGCTGCAGTGTGGAGCAATAGCAAACAGAACAAATGGAGGTACAATTTTTCCTTCTTCCATCCATTCTTTTCTCCTTCCTCCCTCCTCCCTCCTTCTCAGGGCTGTGGGTCCACCTTCTTCCCTGTGCTGTGTTCTTAGCCTCTGTTGTTGCTTTCCCTCTAACATCTGGAATGCAGCTAGCACACAGCAGCAGTCTGTGGACATTCATTTAGTGGCCTATCGATAATAGACATCATTTATCAGGAATCTATTTTATCAGGCCTGATAGTATATATACTTAAAAGTCACAACAAATAATTCAATGAGTTAGTATTTCTGAAGTGCTAACTAAAGGACTGAGGGGGAGGGTCAGAGGCACAAGGCTGATGAATGTGTCCTGAGTCAACTTAGTTCCCACAAGATCCCATGAGCAATAAGCAGTACCTTCAGATCTGCTAACACAAGAGAAAAAAAATACTACAATTTAATTGTACTTAAGAGCTCAAGGAGGCTGTGATTTAGAGTCCAATTCCATGTAAATTCTGAAATACCTCACATGGAGAAAAATATTAGCAGACATTTAGGCCATAAGCTATGCCACAAAAACAATCAGCCAAAAAAACCTAAGAGCCTAACAAGCTAAGTGGCAAATGTACAGAGAAACACAAACACTTCTTCTGTGCAGTTTCTACTGTCTTTAAACTCCACCGGACTCATAGCTTTGGGTCTACCCCAACTGGACTGGAAGATTATTATGGTGAGGCCACTGCACAGGGAGTACAATTGTCTGAAATTACAGCAAAGTCAAACGTGTATTAAAAGGTGCCACACAGGGAAGAAGAAGTCACTGCTGTGTCATTTAATGAAACCCACTGAGCACTGAGGGCATGGGCAGCCAAATTGAATTTTAAATGGCTCCTACAAGAGGGTATAATCAGGGTAGCCACCAGTGGAGATGAGATGAATGGACTGACTTTTTTCCACCAGGGATTCAAAATAGAGCACCATCTTTATGCATGAGGCCACACCACACACACATACACACACACACACACACACACACACACACACACACACACACACACACCTACAAAAACTTAAGGTGCTCACCTTTCTTCTTTTGGTCCAGTACGTTTTAGACTCTGTCTTCCCCAAGGAAGCTTTTTGTTAACGAACATTATGCAAAAAGATTTTTATCCCACCTTGATTCCCATTGCACTTTACTCCAGACAATAAAAGCTACTCCCAAGAGTGAAAACTCCTTTGTGATCCTGAACCACTGCATAATAACTGCCAAGCAGCTGGCACTCTCCAGGCGAGGCTTAACATCCTCCACTAAGTCAGCGATAGCCAGGGGCTTACCTTTCAGCCAGTACAGTCAAATGGTAAAAGCAAGCATGAAATACAAAAGCTGTGCCCTTTTGAGAGTAAATGAAGTAATGTCTTCTTACATGAAGTTTCAAAACCACTATAATTCTATATGTTCTAATCATAATCATTTTTGTGAGTTCCATGCTCAATGTTTCCAACTTCCCACTTGACCTTCAGCCTTGAACTCCTACCAGAATTGGAACCTCAAAATGTCCAGAACTGAGTTGATGGCCCCGTTGTCCAAATCTGTAGACATCTTCCTCTCCACGAAATGACAATGTCCTTCTACGTGTCACTTAGACTTGAAACCAAAGTGACCATTGCTGCTTTTTCTCATCAGTGGCAACCAATTGACAACTTCTCAACCCATTCATCCTTTACCCCCTCCCCTCCCCTCCTCATCCTCTTTGTCTCACATACTTCCACAGAGTCCAGTTCAGAAGTTTTGCCAGCCAAGGGTACCACAATCCAGTGAGAGCTCTGACTGGTGGGTTTGAAGATCAGGTAAGCAGGGCAGTGAGGACAGAGACAGTCCTTCTCCACAAGGCATGAAGAGAAGATAGAAACTCAATGACCACAGTGATTCTCAAGAACACCTTACAAAGTGAGACTTCAACTGGCAATAAAGTGTTCTAGAGAAACTAAGGTGTCACCTTGCCTGTCCCCTTGTCCCCTCCCCATAGGAATACTGAATATTTAGAATAAAGAACTTGGGGTCTGAAGCGGAGTTTAGCCAAGCTTACCATGGGCTGATCTTTTTATCATACCTACTCAAAGGGTGTGTGCAAAGGATAGTGGGGAAATGTACTGGAAACTTCTTAGCCTTTTCATCACATTTGTTTGCACAGTTTTGGATTCTAGAGTTTGGACATCTTGATGGCAGATGCTAACATCAATATTCAACACAAGGCTAGCATCTGCCATTCTGGAAAAAAATAAAGTTTCAAAGAGCCCATATTATATAGAGTTTGTAGCAGACAACAAATTATTATCACAGATCTCACAGGCACTTTGCTGGACTCCAAAAATAAGGTCTGATTTTAACATTTCGTGATATTTTTCAATTTAATTTTTGCAATTAGAAATATAATGTCTTTCTTCTCTGATTGTAACTTTGAGGCTAGAGTGCAAAAGAAAACAGTTATATTCCCCTAATCAGATAGGTAGGTAAGTAGGTAGGT